CAGCAGGAACCAGGCACTGCTTGAAGGTACGTAGAAGTGCAGGAACAGCAATACACTCAGGGATGCTGAGATGCTCCAGCTGAATTGGAAGTGTTATCCAGTCCTACAGTCAGCTCTGAACATCTCAGACACAATATTTCTCCTGAGGACTCTCAAAGGGCTTGCAGGCTGAAGATTAAATTTAGAGCTATGTGAGCCAGAATACCAGGACATCCGGGATGGACAGCACAAGCATTTAGAAGGTGCTCATGAAAGATGCTCTGGACATATCCTCTGCTTTTTCCATGGCATTTCCACCTCAGTCCTGAGCTTCCTGGCATTTTTCATAAGAAGTTGTAATTTGAGTATTAAACCAGTGTAAAGTCACATGCCATCTTTTATAGTGACATTTACAGTCAGCATTCATACTATCTGTAAGGTACATTATAGCAAAAATAAGCAAGCAGATAAAAGACTACTTTGCTTGGATACTTTTCACAAGTGAACAGTTCTGTTCACTCACTCAGAAAAGGTCCATGGCTGGTGAGAAAACTGCTGGCTACAAGTGATAAATTATTGTCCTATGCAAAAAGGGGACCACTGGTACTAAAGGGGACATGATGGAAAACACAGCCATTTGGGATATCATTCCTGCATTTACTTGCCAGTAGATTACAAAGTCTTGATTTTTGATTGCACAGCTATTAGGAATAGCAGCTGAAAATTAATCTGCTGGAGGAAGTAATGATGAGACTGGATAACTCCCAGATCTGCTCAGGATCAGCATCACTTCCCCCCTTAACTTCAGAGCATTTGATGATCTCACCTTGTTTGCCTTCACTGAACTCCAGAGGACACACCTGCTATAGTCCCTGAGCAATATGGTGTGCATTAGGAACACAAATAGCAATTGCAAGAAGAAGAAAGGTATGAAGGTAAAGTTTAACTAATATCAGGTCCCAAGAGCCTGACGTGTTTGGATGTAACTGGGATTGTGTTGGTGATCACTCTGCTTCAAGCTGGAAGTGCAAGGGGCTTGATTTTCATTTTGCTAAACTGAATAAATGTTGTTGAAACAATCTGAAGAAGGAATCAATTTAAATAATCAAATATGCATCTCTGAATATTTTTTTTTCTATTCCCATGAGACTAAATGCATGTTTTGAAGAGCTGGTTGGAAAAGAAATTACGGATGCAAGTGGCAAATAAGGCACTTCCAGATGACTGGAGAATCAGGAGCCAAACAAACACACTATCTGTTGCTTGTTTTCTTACAGGCCAAAATGTTGCGATTGGGCAGATGTCCAAAAAGCCCTTGTGACAATCCATGTGGAAGGGGGAGGATTTCTGTAATAAAAACACTTCTGTTCACTCAATGTACAGATTGTTTTTGGAGTGTCTTTGAAACGGAGAGGTTGGGGGGAAGGAAGGAAATGAAAAGGCTCATTTGATTATTTTGTTGCTTAGCACTAAGCCAGCTTGTTTCCAAATCCTTCTCATCTCAAAAGAAGACCTTTGATGTACATATTGTGGACCAGGTGGTCAGGAGAAGAAAGCAAAACAGTGAAGGTCAGTACTGGTGCAGGAATAATTTCCCAAACACTTCACAAATGTTAAAAAGAATACAGACCATGGATGCTGAACTGCTGAAAAATATGTAACATGTCTGGAAATATCCAAGAGAGGGTGTTTTGTGATACTTCTCAGAAAGCTGACTTTCAAAACATTTGCAAACAGGATTTTGTTCTTTTTGGGAAGAGGTGTTGGAATACCCAGAACTAAAAAAACCAAAACCCCAAAACCATGGGAGGAAGGTGTGGAGCTGAGAAAACAGAGGGGAAAATACTAATTTGCCAGGAGGCAGTGACAATTTTTCTGACAGAAAAGTACATTTCACATCACAGAGGTTTTTTTTCAGCTACAGTAACCCTGCCAACACATTTCAGAGTAAATTCATTTGAGGGCAAAGAAAAAGAGTGCTTAATGCAGACACATGTAATGGAAATGTCAGTTCAATCCATCAGGATTGCTGAAGCTGGCAGCAAAGCTCTGTGCTATGAAGTGTACAATCACTAAAATATTCATGTTTAACAATGGGCCTCTCCAAACACAAATACCTGCTTCTCCTGCTCTCCCCTCTGCATGCCTCCAATTTGTATCCACGAGATCAGAGTCCTCATCATTGTGGACCAACGTCACCCACGTCTTGGGCACAGAGCTCCCCTAAGGACAGCAGGTCCCAGGGTGGGGATGGAGGAACAGAAAGTGGTTCCTTGTGCCCAAATCTAAGCAGATTTGATTGTGATGACAAGGGCACTCTCATCATGGGTACTGCACACAAGGTGCCTGAAAGCTTGAGCAGAAAGAAATGCCAGGGCAGCAGCCTTGGGTCATCCCATAGCACAGACTTCTTCCATGCACTGGGAGAGAAGAAACTTAGAGAATGTATTTGGGCTCTGTCTTCTTGAAAAACTAAAAGAAGAACTTAAAAGACCACAGAAAAAGTTATTTGGTGCATATAAAATATTAAGAGTATCAGATTTGGACATCTTGATTTCATTGTCAGAGCTGCATAGGAAGTTATACACCTGGTATAAGACAGGACTAGAAATTTTGTCCTGTCTTAACTTGAGCAGGAAAACAAAAATCTGTTAACATGTCACAAAGCAACAGTTAAAAAACTAGTTAAGTTCAAGACAACAATTTTGAATTAACTTTCATTTTGGTTTTGACTCTTTAATTTTTCTTTTCCAGTTTTCAATCATTAGTTTACGCTTAACTTGAGAGGGGTGAAAACCCAAAAGGAATTTTTCTTTTAGGCTGTTATTGAATTTGTCATTTAGACAATTTTGAGAGCTGTATACAACATTTCTGCCGAGAAATCTCTCAAGCTCAACCCTCTCCCATAAACAAATTCACTTTTGAAAAATGAGCATTTTCTGATAGGAAAAGTTATCTTGAGGTATTTCCTGACAGCCTTAATTATCAGAGGCCAACACACAGCATCTTAGCCTGCATCTTTTGTCATATTTTACTTCCCTCATGGCATCATCTTCTCAGCTCTTGAGAAAACAGCTTTTCATTACCCCTCCCCCCCAATCTAATCCTTGTGATTATTACAGAAGAACCTTAAAGCATGAATTCTAATGGCTAGAAAAACAAGCAGAAAATAACAACCCAGGATTTATATTTTGTAACAGTTACTTGCTATTAAACCTATCTCATAATCCACAGGAATGCAAACATTGTTACATATGGGAAAGTTGTGTTGGAGGTTCAGAGGTTACGTCGAACTGTGGGGTAGGTGTGCCTCAAAATCTAGCCTGTAATTCTGCACCTGCTTTTATTGACATGTAGAGGCTTAATTCTGTGGGGCAGATTACCTTTGAACTACATAGTTAGTAGTGTAGTAGTCATGTAGCTGCTCTGAAACAGCTGACTGTAATGAAAGGCTTAAGTCACTTTGCCATTCTACTAAAACAAATCTGTATGTCATTTGTTTAGTTGCAAATAAGTCTCTAGGCAAAACTGTGTAAACAGAGCTGCCCCTCTACAAAGAGAAAGGTTATCAGGACATTAACTGGTAGCGAAACTTGGGATATCTGAGGGGACAAAAACTGGAAACAAAATAAAAAGAACAAATAACAAAGAAAAGAAAAGGAAACAGGTTTGGGAATTACAATCTCCATCTGTGCTAATGAATTTTAAACATGCCCTGGACAAAGGGGTCAAACTGGCAAAGGAGAACTTGTGTCCGTTATATTAAAGACCGGAAAACCTCATGGTGATCAGGACACTGAGAGAGGAGATAATGATTGTACTGGTTTTGCCTAGGCTAAATTTCTTTACAGTAGCTGGTATGGGGCAGTGTTTTGGATTTGTGCCGGAAACAGTGTTTATAACACAGGGATGGTTTCATTATTGCTAAGCAGTGCTCACACAGAGCCAAGGCCTTTTCTGCTTCTCACCACCCCACCAGTGAGGAGGCTGGGGGGGGACAAGGCGTTGGGAGGGGACACAGCCCAACTGATTCCAGGGTTGTTCGACACCAGATAGCATCATGCTCAGCATATAAAGGTGGTGGAAGAAAGAGGAATGGGAGGACATTTAGAGTGACAGTATTTGTCTTCTCAGGTCACCGTCATGTGTGATGGATCCCTGCTTTCCTGGGGATAGCTGAACACCTTGCCTGCCCATGGGAAGTGGTGAATGAATACCTTGTTTTGCTCTGTTTGCATGCATGGCTTTTCTTTTCCCTATTAAACTGCCTTTATCTCAATCCACAGTTTTCTCACTTTTTCAATTCTCTCCCCTATCCCACCTGACTGAGCAGCTGTGTAGAGCATAGTTCCATCTGGGGTTAAACTATGACACCTATTCACTGATGGCAAGCTTGTGAAAATGTTAATTAATTTAAATGTCTTACCTGTCATGTAGCATTTGATATCTTGAGAGTTGCTAATGGGGTTGTTGTTTTTGAACATATACAGGTTGAAAGGCATTATGTTATTGCTACTCAGATGCTTCCACATATCATGGTCTGGACTTGTCCACCGACCCGCTAGCACATCATAATCTCTCCGTCCCATGTGGATAAGCTTGGTAAGGGGGTCATACAGTCCTCCATGGTAGCCAATAATGATCTGGAAGTTGGGATTAGTGTCCATATAGATCTCCCCATATGCTGTGTACAGTATCTGCTTGATCATTAAGCCAGTCCCACTGAAGACAGCCAAAGGAGTGCCAATGTTATCGCAGGCTATGTAGAATTCATCACCACTGCTGAGCTCCATTGCAAAGAGGTGGCCTTGCAGGTCATAGTAGAGCGAGGTGATCTCAGAGCTCGAGTGGTTGTATAAATGGGTGACCTTGGTTGGGTTGGTCAGATCTGCATAGAAGAACTGCAAGTGATGGCCATGGCTAGTTTTGCTGGAGACTCTCCTTCCCAGGCCATCATAGCGGTACTTCACACTCCACCCACTAGCTTTATTGTATGCTTTGATGAGCAGGCCAGCTGAACTGTACTCAAAAATGTCATTGCCCCTTTGCTTCAGGAAGCCATCTTCATCCATTTTGTACTGCACATCCCCCAGTCTAGTAATCCTATCCCTGAGGTCATACCTGAGTGGTGTAAGGCGGGCACTATTCCCTGGACTCAACAAATGCAGGTTTCCATTTAGGTCATAGCTGTAACGCCAGAGTGGTTTGTCATTGATAGACACTGTCTGCAACTGGCCATCAGCATCATACTCATATGAGTACCTAGTTGTGTTCGCATAAGGGCCAACCTTCAGCTCTTTCTTAACCACTCTCCCCATGTTGTCATACTGCACAGTCATCCAGTACATGAGAGACCGGAATATCTCATACTGGACCTCCTTCATCCTGCCATAGGCATCAAAATGTTTAGTGTGAGTCATGACAGCAGTGGTGATAATCTGGTTGATATCATAGTAAATGACTCCAAATTTACCAAATTGCTCAGTTTTGCCTGATACATCATCATACCTGTAGAGATCAATAGGTAAAGGTGTCTCGTTGATGACTGCTTGCATGCTGGTCACCCGAAAGCTGTTGTCATAATTATAGTCAAAGCGTGCATTCACCATGCCTTCCTCAGTGAAGCGGAAAATCTGTCGATCAATGAGGGGTCCTATCTGTCTGTACCTGATAGTACAGGTGAACCCTTCATTCTGCAAGTTTATGGTCTTCAGCATGCCAGCAGTTTCATCATAAGTGAAACTGATCTTTGTGGTGTCGTAGAGCATCTCGGCCAACTTGGACAACTTTCCATACTTGTAGATGACACGTCTCCCCGTACCCAAGTACAAAGTGTGGAGGAGCTGCTCGTCCTCTGTGAAATCCTGAATTACTGAAGCGTTGCCTTCTGGTGGCCGATAAATGTTCCTGTAGTAACCAATGGACCGAATGGTCTCTAAAGTCTGACGGGCAACGTTGGGCATGGTCACTGATGACAACCGGTCATTCTTGTCAAACTCAAAGATGTACTGTCTCTGGCTGTGAAGGAGCAGCACCATGGACTGGATGGAAAGGAACAAAGTACAGATTATATTCCTGGGTTTTGAGCAAAGTTATGCTCTTGCAAAACCTGTAAGATTCCTCAATCCAAAGACTAGCAAGTGGGACAAATCTCTGCACCCATAGAATTAAACAGTGAGAGGTAAGCAGCTG